ATTTCTTGATAAGTTCACTAATTATTATTTTATTTGATTCTATGACCGAGGCACAACAATGACATGATGAGGAGATGAAGGAGAGTGTTTGAGTAACAACAATTTTAAGGTGATTCAATGTGCAAAGCAAAAGTAAAATATATGAGGTCTTGTGTAAGCATAAGCATAATAGAAAATTTTGATTTTTCTTAATCTATGTGCACCAAACAAGTATGGGTTTCTGACCCTCCTACAATAACTGATGCTTTATCTAATTAGTTAATCATTATCCAATATTCCAATTGTATACTAGAAATTATGGAAACTTGGAATGATTAGTCATGGCTTCATGATTTTTCTTGGGTTAAACACACAGAGGTATTTAGTCATTGTATAGCTTGCCTGAAACATAAATCATAAACATGCATAATTCTTGTGAAACTCAACAGCCTCCTATGCACAATTCTTAGGAAAAATTAGCACTTCATGTTATTAGCATTTGGTATTAAATACATATTAAGTTTGTGCCACTTAATTAATAGATTAATGGTGTGCCTTAATTAATAGATTAATGGTGCATTTTGGCCATTACTATGCTATAATGGCTATATTTATAAGAATTATTAGCTAGCCGTTTGCTCTTAATGCATGCATATTAATTTGGGGGGTTTTGTCAGTAATGAGTATATCACACTAGCCATTTAAATTAAATGTGATTGTAGAGCAAATATGTTAATATGATATATTGGGGATATAAAGGTTTTATAAATTTGAGGATGCTTTCTTATTTTTGCTATTTAATTAGAAATGCTCATGTAAGCATGTATGATCTATTATAATTATTTTGTTATTAATATGCACCATTGATATATAATAAATTGATGATTATTATTTTTAATGGTTAAAAAAAAAGATGAATAAATATGTGCATTTAATTGACCAGTTTATTGAGTTTTTTTACTTTGAGAACCCAAGTGCAAAGCTACTTGAGTTGGTCCATGTAATTATTTTAGTAAAAATGGACATGATATTTGGGTTGATATATTTTGAAAACGTCCATTTGTGGTGATAAAATGTGAGATGAGCTAATAAGCTCTTATGAAAATCTTATGAGAAAATGAGTTTCTTCATGAACTCAATTATTTGATGAATGTGAGAATCACATATTTGAGAGGCTCCTAATGTGGGCGATTGTGATGTCCCTATGTATTATTATTGGTGATGAGACCAATGATGCCTAATTGAGATTTTGCATGGCATTCCTATTATAAAACAATGGTGTTTGAGTTAAAAACAAATTCTTAAATACATGTCTCTACATGTATGAAAAGGAAAAAGGTGGTTCACTAACTTGATTTGATATCAAAATTGTGGTACCATGAATTAAGAATTTGAGAAAAATGAATGTGAATTTATGAGCTAATAGATTTGTGGGTTGATGTGAAAAAGTGTAAAAAAAAAATGAGTTAATTCTCTTCATTACCCACTATACCACCAACGAGGCCTTTGGCAAAAATAAAAGTTGGAGGAAAATCTATGATCATAGTCCAAGGTCTACCGCTCATTGAGGGGAATGGGATTCAAGCCCAATAATGTAGAACTTCCTATGAGAATATCCAACTCAAATTCTAAGAATTGGGTTTTGAATGGGAAAAACGAATTATAGAGAAGTCGTTGTTAAAAGATGCATCAATATTTAACGAAAAAAAAAAAATGGTCCCATTCCTAAGGTGAGGATGCATCTATCCCATAATGAATTGAGGGTTGAGTTTTATACTCTTAATGAAATTTGTAACTCATAGAGTGGGGTGTCTGAGTTATGGGAGCACCCTTGACAAATTTCATCTATATGGGTGTCGAAGTGAGGTTGCTTCTATGAAAATTGGATGGGCAATTTTTTAGATCACCCATGAAAACTGGGATCATGCGCAAGGCCATAACTTGTCAGCTATGTGAAAAACTCAACGTTCATATTATTATGTATGTGATACAATTCTTATATCTTCCAATAGACTCATAGTTCAAGACTTAATTCACTATTGACTTTGGATTAAAAATTGTTGACTCACTAAGTAAAGGTTCAAGGCTTAGCTATTTTTATTATGCATAATAATCCATCTTTGCCCAAAAGAAAATTTTATTTTTTATTAAAATAGTGAGGGAATTGTTGGAACTTAAATATTTTAATAAAAAATAAAATAAAATATTTTAGAAATTAAATTTATTATCTCATTAAAGACTTAGTCAAACTAACTATTATAGGTTAATTGTCCTATTTAAGAGCACATTATTTCATAATAATTACTCAATTTATTCCTATCATTAACCTACAAATGAGAGTTACAATATCATGAGTCCTATAGATAGGACATGTTTTTTTGCTCAAAAAAGAAGTTCCTCCACATTCCTCTATTCTTTCTTACCTTACTTTATTTTCTAAATAATTTTGGGTATAGAAGGGTGTTTGAGTAAGATGACTCTATGGGTAGTGGCATCCTAGGGGTGACATGTCATGTTTACCTCTGTTGCACTGATTGATCTATTCTCTA